TGGGGAGAGTGTTGGGGAGGCGAGGACGCTGACGAGACCTATAACATGTACGGCTCGGATCCTCTGGGTTGCTATGACAACTTGGTAGGCATGGAATGGCACAACATGGTCTACAAATTTGAAAGTAAGTACAAAAAAAACCCTGAGAATAGAACGGCACTGATGTAGTTGTGTCTTTTCCAAAAGTATTTTCCTTTCCTACAGATCTGAAAGAAAAGGTAGGCTTATCTGACAAGTGTGAAAAACAAAATATGCAATGTAAGCAAGAAAAAAGAAAATATTCAGCCGTTGTCTCTAATTGGCCACGTGGATAACTGTTAGTCATATTCATGAGGTCCCGTTCCATGAGTTTTCGAATTTTTGCTCCAGGTCTTTCGAGATCTATGGATCACACTCACAGGCTCTGTTTTCTTTTTTTTTTTAATGAGTATACCTTTCTCTATTTCTTTTCAGTACCTGAGTGAGCCGCTCCGATAACTGGAAATTTTGACGAGGCCAGGGGCGTTTTTTTTTGTCATGCATATTTACTGATCAAACGCCAACAACATAAAAGAAACTTGTACAACCACAATTGCATGTAGGTTATTAGCAAACATTAAAACAAGGAAAAAGAAGGCGTCTGTGAATTTTTTGAAAAAAAAAAACCTGCCTTAGTGATGGTTAGAATTAATAAGGCGCATTCAGGGGTGGTCCAAAACCACCTTTTCACCTCTTTCTGTGAAATGTTGTATTATCTTTAAAGAATTCCCAGGAACATAAGTATTATTTCTATAGCCTGCAAGTGTCCGGGCCCCACAATTTTTTAATTTTCTGGATCCGCTCCTGGTTGTCCTGTTCTTACTGTTCCCACCACAGTGAGTCAACTGTCTATAAGACGGAAGCCTTTGGGATCGGCACTAAGTGTCCGTCTTAGAGAGATGTCCCTCTTATAGAGAGTCAAATAAAGCGAGTAAAGGCGTCCGAGGTGTCCGACTTACAGAGGTGTCCGTTAAGTGACAGACTGTAATCTAACCTGTACCAAGGGTTCAGATACAGTCGACTCTCTCTTAACCTCTATTTGACAGACTTCCTTGTTAAAACAGACACTGCCTAGAGTTGGTCCCTGCCTTTCTTTACTCTCTTTATTTGACTCTCTATAAGACGGACATCTCGGTAAGACAGACACTTAGTGCTGGTTCTAAAGGTGTAGGTCTCAGAGAGAGTTGACTTAAGTATCGACTCATTCAGAAAGAATGAAATAGAGTACAAATGAATAAATATCGTGTAAGATATGATCAATTTTATTTTTCATCGGCTTTGTTCAGGTTTATATGTGCATCGTGCCAAGTCTATATCACTGTAATATGCTGCTCCGTTGGCCAAGAATTTAGATCATAATTGCAGAGAAAATTATTTCAGCGACTACGAACAAAGTTATAAATAAGAGTATTGATTAGACAAATTGCTTAATTATAAAATCCTCTTGTTTAGTTGCCACGAGCTCTAAATCGAAATCTCTCTCTTTCCTCCAGTCTTGCTCCATGGGAGCCTAATGTCTCACGCTGTTTGCGCCCCTCCATTTCTCTCTCATGAACCAGTTTACCATTTTCGAGGGCTTCTTCTCGCCTTCTCTCTCTCAACTCCTCCCGTTCACGCTCCTTGTTTCCATGGTAGTCAAAACGTTCTCTCTCCCTCTCGGCTTCACGTTCGCGCCACTCTCTCTCTTCTGATGCTCGGACTCGTTCATCCAGTTTTTTCCATTCTGGTGTTATTTCACCCGAGTGCATTGTTCTGAAGTGGAGTTCCCTGGATCTCGCTGCCCTTTCTTCTTCTTCTTCTTCTTCTTCTTCCCTTTTCTGGTTTGAAGCCGTATTTTCTTCATGTTTTTCACGTTCCTCTTCTGGATCTATCTTTCTCCCTTCTTCAGAGGGATCTCTCCTGTGTTTATTATGCCTGTCGTCTTCTTTAAGCGCAGTTTTTATTTCTCTGTTGAAGATCCTCTCGCTCTTCTCCGGAACATCCCTTAAGAACATTCTCTCGGGTCTCGGCATCAGTTCTTTTTCCTCTTCTTCCTCACCGAGTTCGTGCTTGTTAGTTTTCTCCGCTATCTCTCTTGCCAGCATTTCTTCAAGCTCTCTTCTAACACTTTCATCAGATGTTGTGAGGTCTTCATCTTTGGGAGACTTTCGGCTAACTTCATCTTGCTCATCTTTAAACATTTCCGCTGGAAGTTCTATCTCCTCACGTTTATCATCGTTTCCCTTTAATTCGAAGTCCCTATCATCCTTGTTTCCCTTTTCATTAATACCCTCTCTCCTTGCCATTTTCGTAGCAAGTTCCCTTTCAAGTCTTCTGAAGAATTCTTCTGCATTCACTTCTCGGAATTCTCTGTCTTCTTTTGCGGCGACAGGATATTCGCTTTCGACCAGTTCCTCAACCTCTGGAAAGCTTCTCTCTTCTTTCTCGGGCAATTCACTTTCTATCATTTGGCGTGTTGCAGTCATTATGGGAGGAATACCCTCATGTTTCTCTTCTTCCGTAGTTCGGATCTCTTTCTCTAAAGGTGCAGACTGTGTAGTGATTACTAAGACGGAGCATAACAGGCAAGCCACTTGGATAAGTACCACCCCTGAAAGTAAATAAACAATATGAGTTGTAAGGAAGAAATAATCAGAAACAAAGACTATTTGACTAATCGGAACAAGCAAGTAGTATTGGACGAGAGACGTCAAGCAACAAAAAGCGGCGGCTCAATGCAGAGCCGTAGAGGACACGAAACTTGCCGGAATATTTAAAACACTTAGCGAAGACGATATATAATCGAATTACTAATAAGATATAACTAGAATAAAGATATAGAATTATTGGATGAGACTTTCTATGATACTTTCAGTGTTCTTCATGGCTTTAATTTTGGGATTTACATTATACGCCCGCTTCGGATATGAATACAGCGTTAGTGTCATGTTTTGTTAGACTGCGCGCAGTCTCTTATCAGTTCTTTGCAAATTTACGAAAGCCAAGCAAGCGCGGGCGTCTGGACCCAATCCCTTATTGTAACATAACGTCGTGGTTTGCAATCGCGCTGGCCGAGATAAGAACTAGGCGGATTTTTAGAGAAAAGGCAGACTGCAAGCAGTCTATGTTTTGTAATCGAACTGTTCACTGACACAACACATACACGCGGTTCAGTACTGGCAACACGGGACGGTAAACCTGTGACAACACTATTATTTATTCTCAGATTGTCAAAACAGGCAAAACAACAATCCGGTCACCTTATCCATAATTAAAGGAGATACCTTTCTGGGTTGAAAGATCTGATTGTGAATGTCCTGTCTATGATGGCCTGCCGGTTTTCATGCCGTGCAGAAATTCTTATGATAACTGAAATTTTGTTGAGCTAACCCTGCCCATATTGTACTGTTTCCTTGCCGGTTACACGGAGCAAAACAAGCCGTAACCATATCTAGCATCCGGGAGATGAGCTTTCAATTCTTAATCACTGAAAACAAAGTTAGACTCTCCGGCTTGGCCATGGTTAAAGTTTTTTGAATCGTTTGATTCAAGTCATAGAAAACTGAGCTGAATTGTTTAATAGTCCTGGCTATCAACGTGAAAATCGCGCTGATTTTGTCTTGTTCATATACACGCATTTTGCAGTGCATAAATGACTGCACAGTTGCATAGTTTCTGTTGAAGAGATGACTCACTTATGAGTGGTAGACCATTAAAACCAAGCGCGAGATAAAGACAGTCCTTTACATTTAAGGTGTTGGAAGCCGGAATGATTTGCTTCACTTCATCACTTGCGCGCACAATCATCCTGTCCATCAAATTCGGCGGGAAACGCGATTTTAGCCGGTTTAGTTTCCATGACCAAATAGAATAAGAAACTGGATAATGCAACAATCTCTGAGCCATTTTTACCCCCGAATTTCTCCTAAAAGGATGACGAAAATGTTCACTAAAATATTGAACGAAAAGCACAGCATGAAACTCGAGTGAATGTCTTTAATTTTCTGCTTTAAAATTTGTGATGAAAATTGTCTATATTTATATTATGCGGCAAACCAAAACCTGGATGCAATGCTTCTGAACGATTTTTTGAAACCAAGAGAAGATTCGCGCGCTCCAAAAATGACTTAAATTTCGAAATAATTTTTTTGAAGTTACTTACTAATTGTTGCGGACATTAGAAAATATCTTTTTTAAAATGCTCAATAAACATTTAAAAATATATTATGCTACGAAATACTGATATGTTTCAGTTCAAGGCAGAAACAGTAAACAACGTTTAAAAAGAATTTTCATTGCAAAACAAATAATCTAGTTTCAAGTTAAGTCGAGACTCTAGTACTCTTCCGAATTTTTTCTAAAGTTATAGATTATTTGAGTATAGGAAATGAAAAATTATATAAACCTACCTTTCATATTCGTCTTGGTGGTTTGAACCGAAGGTCCAACTGAGTTTGTTGTTACGACCCAAAAGTGTTTTATTTTTAAAATGTCCCTAAGCGTGGGTCGCGACAAATTAAACACAATAAGTGAGCTTTAGTGGAACCTTAAGGTTCAAAAACACCTGTTTTCCTCGAAGTATTTCCATTAACGCCTTTGTGTTGCAAATTGCGTTTTCTTCCCAAAAAGAGTAAATTCAAATAATCGAAAATAATACTTTGTAGCTGGGTACGGAAACTAATTGTTCTCTATGAGAACGCGAAATATGTCTCCTTATGAGTTCACAAACCAATACTATGCCGATAGACGTCCCAGGAATATTTAGAATAATATACAATATTGCATGCTGAAATAATGATCTTTTAATCTTAGCAATCACGTCTTCCTTTGCCGATCAGTCTACAAGGAATTAAAAACTTCAAACAGTACATGAATTATTTAAATTAGACGTCGTGTTTTTAAAATTTACTGGAGAAAAAATATTTTTGTTTGGGCAGTTTGTTTCAACCTATATGTGTTACAGTTCAAGGCCTTAAGAATAAGGTTACATTTTCTGCTTTCTCAGTTTAGTAACTTTTTCCAGTTGTAATTACAAACCTTTTTCAATAGAGGGGAAGATGAAAACACCTGCATCATACTAAATATAGAGTTTGATTATTTCAAAGACAGCGAAATAATTACGTGAAAATTCATCCTCTGTTTTTATGAATCAATTAGGGTCGGTACTGAACAAAATGAGTTTGGATTGAAATTGCCTCCGCCCCGTGTAAATTGTTTCTTGGAGTAATAATGAAGCACGTCCGCTTTTCAACAGGACACCGCCCACCAATTTACGATATAGCCTTCTGAGGTCGCGTATAACGTGACGTGACTAGAAAGCACACCCTACAACTGAATTCGTCAGCGTATTCGAAAAAAAAGTCTTGTTTCTCATCATGAAGAATGCTCCTTTCTGAAAAGCTGTTTTCACTGAAGTTTATTAGGTGTTAATGACATTGTTTTAAAAGAAACTTTTTAATGAATGTACTCTTAAAACTGGGAAACATATCATTCACACCTAAAACCAGTTTGAAATAGAAAGATTGGCTTGAAGCATTGAATAATCTCTTCAAGTTACTAATCAATGCCCCTACTAACTCATTGACTGAACTTCTTTTTCTTCGTTACGAATGTCCTCCTTTCTAGAACAGGAAGAGAGATCTTACCTTGGTACTATCAGAATCATATTCTACGACGAAAATAACTTGCAGGTCTTTTTAAGTCATGAAAGATGTCAGGAGTGGACTGTGCTTAAAAGAATTTTTTCTAATCACAGTCAGTGTGAGGGGAAATTGATTAACTTAAGGTATTGCCAAAATTCACCAACATTTGAGCCTCTTTTGCCCGTCAATCAATGAAAATGATATATAGTTCAAGTTTCACGCAAATATCAGAAAATGTCAGAAGCTCAGAAGGATTTTCTGGTTCAATAAAGCTTTGATGAGATGGATCTTTTTTAAAAGAGCACAAAACGTTTGGTGGACCATTTAAAACTAAGCAAAATCCATATTTATACTGAGCTTCACTGACATTATTGAAAGTAAAAAAGCAGGTTGTTATTTTAGTAGAAAATGTTCAGTGAGTAATCGCCCAAACCCCGTTATTTGATTAATTATTAATACGATAAAAACAACAAGCAAAAAGAGGCTTTGGTGATTGCACGAGTCTGAATTAGAGGTGCGTGTTTATTAAATGGAACTCGTCCCTAGCTCTTATCAAAACATCTTCAGATTTGTAATTGGTCTCTTTGCTTCTTTGTTTGTTTCTTTTTCTGTTAGTTATCTTGACCAATGCAGGTAATGAGCTAATGACCGTTAATGAGACGGAAAGTGCATGAACATACTTTTATATGGAGAGACTGATGTCACATCGTTTGCCCTCCTTAATCTTTTGAACTTTAAAAGCTTTCATTACCACTCTCTTAATATTTGTAAATGACAGTTATCCGTGTACGTCCGTGCCGTGGGACGCGAATTACCTTTTAGCTAAATCAAACAGCCTATCACATCACGTGGCTCATGCGTAATTTGTGTCTTACGGTGTAAATGATTACAATGCAATAAAACTTTAACCAACAACGCCTCTGGGTTTCTGGAATAGCGGTTCTACTATTTTCTGAACGCTAAACTTGGGCTTCTTAAGCATTAGCTTTAGAAATTTATGAGCATAAACATTATCTATAAACATTCAGCACAAGTGAGCAGAACGGGGGCTCGACGAATCAAGGTCACCCCTCCTAAGCCCTATTTTGACTACACCCCCCTCGCCCGATTAAGGGCCTGTTTACATGGAGTGGGGGACCCCGGTCTAGTGGGGTTGGTTTCTTTTGTTTTCACGCTCTGAGGGACACAAAACTAAAGAAACCTACCCCACTTAACCGGGGTACCCCACTCCATGTAAACAGGGTCTAAGTTTAGTAAGTCAAACACGCAGTGACAACACGCACCCAGCCTGCATGCAGACGTCTCCGATTTGCTTCGTTAAAACAGGAGACATCTGCACGCCGGCTAACACGCACCCACCCCACATTGTTTGCTTTGGTTTTTGGCACAATATATCCCCTAGGCCCGATACAGTGTATTCCCCATACAGTGTAATAAGCTCGGTACACTATAGGATTCATATATAAAGTATCTACCTTGTAGAACCCTCAAACCGCTGTATTTTTATGCGGGGTCTCAACTTTGTGGTCCCTAGATACAAGATGGCGTCCTGCTGATGTGACTTCTTGACTTCGCAAAAATTTGAAGCTAATTTATCAATAATGCTTTGTTACATTTTACTCAGTAACAAAGATGGACCATGCTCTTATTGATAATATCGATTGATCGCTTATGGAAAGTATTTGATCGTAATAGATCTTAATACTTTTATCTTTCAAACTACATCACAAGCATCAGGATGTCGTCAGAAAATATGGCTTTGGATTTGATCTTGCGAACTCTGATGAACTCGCCGGACTTTAGAGAGGCAGAGAATAAAAACTGGGAGGTAGTAGCCAAACTTGTTCCCGGATCTACTTCTCATCAGGTTTGAGATTTTCGCGTGTACATTATTGAATAAAAGGTGTCAATTGTCAAGTTACTTAGCTACAATAGCCTGCGATCTACAAGGCTGACTTGTAATACAAGCAGGGCGCAACAGATCGATCAAAATCTATCATCATGTATCATCGAAAAGCTAGCTGATCTGCCGATAGTACTCATGTTCCGCCAATAGCCGTCAACGTTAAAAAAGTTAATGATCCAAAAATCGTTTACCAGCTGTCACGTCGAGTTTCTTGAGGCAGCAGTATTAGCCTGCATGGCCGGCGTTGAGAGGGGAAGGGAAAGGGGGAATTTGGGCGCGCAGGAGGGGGAAAGGAAGTTTCCTTTCCTTTCCCCCTCGCACACCCAAATTCCCCCTTCCCCTTTCAACGCCGGCCACACAGGCTACAGCAGTATCGACTGTTTGGTACTTTCACTTTAATAAGTGTGGCTCTTTTTGAATAATAATAATAGTAATGCAGAAGTGTATAATAAAAAGTGAGAGTTTCTGACTGGCCAGCATAATTCAGGAGTCTCCCAAATGCAAAGGAAATCTTGTGGTATCCCATAAAGGCCAATGAATTTCTCCCTGGTGAGGGGAACTTTTAAACTTTTTTGCACCGCACATGTAGGCTGATATTCTAACGTTAGTTTCAAAACAAAAATCGTTTTGCAGATCCATTTGTACTGTAGTTTTCTTTCTAGTAGCACTTTGTGGGGTTGGGGAAGGTGGATGAGGGCGAGCACTAAGCAGTGGCTAGTGTAGACAGGAAGTCTCCAGATTCAGCTCTGCAGATGTTAGCATCACTGCATTTTTATGAAACTTGAGGTGCCATGGATTAAGATTTATACAAAAGCATCATTAATTAAGTGAAGACGGAAATTGGTAATTTTGTGACCCTCACAGATTACCAGAGGTTTTGTTCAGGGGCATAGCTATATCACACCCAGGGTACTTATCAGATTGACATGTTGACATCTATGCCATGTTGTACTAAAAGTGCAGGGTGCAAAGAAAGTCAGTTTTACAGCCTGTCATTCAGGCAAGCTGTAGCTGGCATGTACTAGCTCACAAGTCATTTCAACTAGCCCCCAAACCCTTTTTGATTAGCAGGATTGATTACAATCCTTGTGTAATTTGAATTTCCCAAACAAACAGCACTTGCCCATCGGGCAAGTTAAGAGCAAAAGTCACTAGCTCGATAGCGAAATCCACTAGCCCCGGGCTATTGGACACAACTTTCTTTGCACGCTGAAGTGACTTTTTTTTTAGATGGGCAGTGAGCATGGGGAGAGACAAGCCTATTTACAAGATTTATTGCCCATTGATTCCTTGGATTTGTTTGTTTTCAACACCTGAATTATAGGGACATAAAACAATATTATTTAACAAAAGGGGGATCATGGGGATGACAGGACCCCCTAGCTACACCCATGATATGTATAATTAGCCATTCATTATTGATTCCTTAGGAGTCTCTTAACTATTGCTGGTCCATTCTTATTTTCAGTGTGCAAAGAGGTGGAAGGAAATACAAAAATCTTCCTCGTCAACAAGCACTGCACATCCTGCCTTCAGTTCATCTTCTAGAACAAGGAGCCTCTCTGGATTTTTAAATTCTGTGATACATTTTACTGATGACAGAAATTTAAATGTGGTGAATAGAATTCAAGGAATGAGACAGAACTCACAACCCTGTGCTGTAGGCACTAATTCTGTCAAAAAAGGCAATCAAGTTGGATCAGGTAGGAACACGGTTTTAATTACTGAACTATTTCTATTAATGTCAGGTAAATATTAATTTTTATTCAAAGAAATGGCACAACACAGGATTTCTTTCTGACTTAAGTTTTTCCAGTACAGAAGTAAGGGCCAAAAACCTCAAGGTCAGACCTGATATTTGCCATACTTACATGTACCCATCACTTTTTATCTACATTATGTGACTTAAATTTAAAGGTTGTCCCTTTAATTTCAAATGATAATTTAATCTCAGTTCAGTACAATAAATAAGAGGTTTCCAAAAGTAAAAAGTTGTGTTAGAGAAATCTGCTCCAGTTTTGCTGACAGAACTGGCCCCAAGTAAGTAAAATGCGACAGCTGCTTGCCCAAAGGACAATCTGGGATTTAATTTTTTTTTGAGACCTGAGTCATCTCTTTTGTGTACTCCACCATTCTTTCACCTTGAAATTTATTAGTATACATATTTATTTCCTTTTATTATCATTACTATTTGCATGTGTTGTCCCATCATCATCAAAAAGAGCATGAAAGGTATTTATCAGTATCATGTCTTATTTTTAAAAAAATCATATTTAATATACCAATAATTTAGTGTTACAGTTGGTGGATTTTCTAGGGAAATGAGGAGTGGTTTTAATATCTAATGAGCTATTTTTACTTTAAAATGTTTGTTGCAAGGAAGGAATGTCTTTTGAAGTATCTTAAATGTATATATATTTTTAATTAACTTATTAGATAAGTATGGGGAATGAAAAATTCATCTTAAGCTGAGTAACGCAACGTTTCTACAGTGGTACAGCATTTGTAGTAGACTAGTGGAAATTGACGAGTGTGCAGTGAAACTCTAAACTAATGCAAAAATGAATGTGTTGCTCCTTGCCTTGGATCTCCTGTTTTTCCTCACACTGTAATTTCCATCCTTATTTTAGGACATCAGAGGCTGTGCCATTCACTGATACTGCAGACTCTAAACAGGTACTGCTACTCCTGTACAAAATGAGTTACTATGCAGTACATGTATACAGTTAAACCCCATTGTTAAGACACTGTGAGGGCCATAGAAAGTGTCTGTATTAGCTTAGTTGAATTTCTATGAGAATCTGTTGATTGGGCAGGAAACAAGCGTCTGTTGTCTGCGTCAACAGGTATCCATGGTAAGCAGGTTAAATATTTTAGAGAAAATGTAAGGGCCTTCTCTAGGGACAGAAGCAAACTGTCTGTAATAATGAGGTGTCCGTATTAAGTGGGTGTCCATAAAGCAGGATCTGATTGTATTTTAAGAATACACTGTACCCTATGAGAGGTCATGATAACAAAAAAGTGAGGTTTAAGAGAGTTTTATTATCCTGAGACATTTGAAAACACCCTTTCTCAAGCACACCATTAATCTAAGACTCAAAAACAAAACAACAGCCCCAGATGTCTGTCCCACATTTTCAAACAACACCATTTTGATTTTTGAATAAGGACAGTAAGTAATCATAGTTACATGTATAATCCCAACCTAAAAATAATTACTGACCAACCCAACAGTCTACAGAAATTTGATTCATAATAATTCTCTCCTTGAAATGTTGCCATCCACGCTAGAAGTCTGGGACACCACATTAGGAAAATAGAAAGACTCTGATTATCCCTGACGTATCTCACACCTTCGTTCAAGATGATCAGATATGTGTACAGTGTTGAGCTAGTCTATAATATCTTGAACAATCAGGAGGTGACAAGGAATGGGCAGGCCATATTGCATTCATTGTAACTCTTTTCTGTGATTTCACACAGAGGTCAGTACTTAGACAAGTGCCAAGATCAGCAGCATCACTGACGTCAAACATTGAATCTTTACAGGGGTGAGAAAAAACTCTCTTTTTATATTATGTGTCTATTAAAATAAACTGGCATTTTATTAATTCCTGTTTGCAAACATTATTAACCATATAATTTGCATAATTTTTGGCACCAAAGAAAGACTTCTAATGTCTTGCAGCTGTAGTAACATAAATGCTCACTATAATACTTGTAAGCGACAGCAAGTTTTTTTTATAATATTAGTTATCTTTGTTGTAGGCCCAACATGGTGATCCATGTTTGCGATGAAAGCAAGAACTGTGAGTTGTTGTTGTTACTCTGTTTTTCCTGTTTGAGTTGTTATCAAAATAAAACTTTAAAGTTGATTTCAAGTGTCCATGATGTAGATTTTGTGCATTGAAGTGAAATTTCTCTACACTGTTACTGTACAAGAGCTAGTTAGTCCAGTACAGTAGCCTTATATTGGTGAAACCTCAGGCTGCATATGTGCAATAAGTGCAAATGTCAAGGTTAGAAGAGAATTTGATAAGTGCCAATGCACTTTTTTTTATTAACTTTTATCAGTGAAACAAGACTTCACCTGTCCAAGGGATCTGTTGATTAGTGAGATGAGATATTTTGCTGAATATCTGTCAGTTGAGGCACAGAGGTGGGAGGAAGTGGACATATCTGTTCACTGTGATGTGCAAATATTTGACTGGTTGATGAAATATGTCAAACGACGAATTCCTGATAAGAACAAGAATGGGGTCGAGGAAAAGAAACCTAAACTTGGTGAGCTTTTTGATTGTGAAATGCTTTGAATTCTATTTTGCTATTTTATTTTAAATGCTAATTGTTATTTTTTTATTTACATCCAACAGAACCAAACAATGTCATATCCATCTTAATATCATCAGATTTCCTAAAGATGGATGCATTGGTGAGTGTCATTAAAATTTTGTTTAGAATACCTTCAGAAATTTCATGACACTAGAGATGTTGATCAAGAATAACATGGGCAGTGTTCCTCGTCTCTTGGGAAAGCCCCTATATTCTGACAATTCAACTTGCTTAATATTGGCACCTGTTAATGCAGACAACAGACACTTGTTTCTTGCTCAATCAACAGATTCTCGTAGAAAGACAACCTCGCTAATGCAGACACTTCATTATCAACTGTGTGCTGTAATAAGCCTTTCCTTTTTGAAGGTAAAAAACCTTCAGTTGACTGCATTTCGATGTTCCCAGCAGTACAGTTCACTGGTTCAGACTATTTTTGGCATCAAACAAGTTATGCAGAGAACGGTTTTTTGATTAAGTAATGTACAAATGGGCAACTTTTGAGAGTGTCCATGGAATGATGGCTTTCTGAAGGTTAAAGATGTTTAACTTTATGATGCTTGTGTTCTGTTCTATCTGTTTAGTATTTTTTGTTCAAATAAATGACGTATTTTTGACTTCAGGTTTGACAGAAGTTCTTCTGGTTAGGATTTTGGCCAGGGAACGCATTGTGAAGCATGAATTGTATTAGCACACAATTCTGGACGTACTGACTCGAAATCATGAACGTGTATTCATGTATAGCAAAAATTCTTAATGTAATAACTTACTTTAAAAAGGTTCAGTTATGATGCATGTAAATGTTTGCTTCAAGGGCAGAGAAAGAAATTTAAACATAGGTAATAATACAATATTTTGGAATACTTCTCTATGCGGTCTGCAAGTAATAAAAATAGCAATTCCTAATGAGTATTTAATCATTATTGCATGTGTGTGTTTGTAGGTCATGGAGTGCATCCACTTTTGTCATGCAAACATGTCAGCCATTGTGGCAACACCCTGTAACATGAATTGCATCAACGATAAGTTAGTTACAAGGTATGTGCTATTTGTTATCACTTTTTCAAATCAGGAAGAGAACATTACGGTTTCTTCCTTTTAAGACAAATTTTCCTGGCGATAGAGTAACATGGTGGAGAACATAGGCCACGGTTTCTATAACCACAATTTGTTCAGATGCTTTTATCTTTTTTAAGTTGCTTCTTCATTAGATATTTTTCTTTCTCTTTGTTTTCAGAATAGCAAAGCTTTTTAATCATAATGAATTGGAAGCCGTCAAAGATCGCAAGGACAAGTTTAAGAGGTGAGTTCATGTCACTAGATCTTACAAAGATGAAGATAATACAATTTTAAATTGTTCACTTATTTAACTTGAACCTCTTCTCTATCCATAATTCTTGTAGTATCTGCTACTTAAGGAAAATGACTCTGTGTTTATTTTTCTTCAGCAAATTATTTTGTAAAAAAATAGAAGAGTTGTTTGATCCAAGATTTTCGTCAACTTCCTCATCAAATGCAAGCACAATGTTCAGGTAAGAGTAAGGTTTTCAGGTGCTTGAAAAATATCGAAGCATTTTTTTTGGGTAATTCTGAATAACATCGTAGTTTGGTTTTCACTAATATTTTGTCTTATTTTCGTGTGCTTATTAACTTTTGTTACTTTTAAAAAGGTGCATCGCTTGTGGAAAACTATTGACTGCAGATTCACAGAGTAAGCTGCGATGTGTTGCCAACAGAATGATGGTGAGCCACAGAGGAAAAGTTACTTACGTTCATTCACGGTTAGTGCGGATCGAGGCCTTTTCAATTCCTTTTTAATTTGTAAAAGTTTCAACTTTGATTCAGAGAGCTCGCGTAGGAGTAACGACAGATTTGAAAAGAAAATGGAAAATTATTCGGATTATTATACGTTTCTGGGAAACTGCCCACCTACCCCTCGCGTAAACCAACATTTTGCCCTAAGTGAGAAGTAAGTGTTCATGTTGGCTTCGGGGAGGGGTAGGTGAGCATTTCCCCGCAACGTATGAGTTAAAAACGAAAGAGTTAAATCGTCGAGGATTTGAAGACGATATCATGATTTTGAATCATAATTTTCAACTTACAAAACCACGTAAAAACTCAAAATAACTTTGAGTATTAGTTTAGTTAAAAAGAATAGTACCAAAGTGTCAATTGTAAACTACAAGAATTACGGATGGTTTAGGTTGGGGAGATAAACATGGATTACTAGTGACAAATATATTTTTTTGAAGAGGGGTTAACGGTTATGTACCCTGGGTGCCAGCACAGACTTCAGTAACCGTTTCTGCCTGACCTCCCGCGAAAAATAAAAACCTTTCGTTCCAAGGGTAACCGTAATGTAGATAATTAACTTAAGTACGATCTCTTTCGATCACATTTGAAGTACTGAAAATCTTTAAGGTCAAAGTTATCGTAAAGTTTGATTTTGTTGTGTGTGCTGTGCAGAGAAAATAAACATTAAGAGGGTCGTGTTGGAGCTCTACTGCATAGAAAAATAAAAAATTAGGTGTTTAATGAGCTGATCGTACGCATACGAGTATAATTCTAGGGTATGTTCATACGATACAGGATAGGTTTTCGTGCCGAAACGAAAAATTACCCGGTATAGTATGACGAATTTATTACATGTAACAGTGAATTAAACGCACTCGCCTGAATTTCACCCGTCTCCTGGGCTCGCCTAGTGACTTAGCGAGCTCAAAAAAAATTGTGTTTATTTCCAGAGATCACACTTGGGATGTGAATGAGTACCTTGTTGGTTTACGAGAAGACGTTAAGTCGTGGAAAGAAGTTTACTGGAGGTGAGAGAATTTTTCGATTCTGCAAATCTCAGTCGCGTAAGCCCCGAGGTAAAAAAATGGCCTTTATTTAGGTCTTTGCCTAGAACCGTTAAAAAAAGCCTGCGGCAGACGCACTTCCGGTTCGCTTTAAAAATAGGTCTATTTTTTAGGGGACCAAGTAAACCGAACGTTTGTTCGCACTCATAAAGAACGTTTGAATTTACAGCGAGAGTGTGTGGTGTGTCACAACATTGATAACCGTAAAACCAAATCGACTGAATAAGGAAGGCCGGCAGGCAGTTTTGTTGAATTTCCTATTTTAACTCCTACTTTATTGCTTTGAATTGATTTCTCATTTTGAAGATTGTGGGGTGCTATAAACATTCTCTACTGCCACCGTTGCGGTAACTTCTTCCAGTGCAGTGAGCTAGGCCACTGCAGTTATCATCCGATGACTGTAGACTTCGGTAATATGGAGTGTACGTCAACCAAGATAGTTGGAGTGTATCCCTGCTGTCAACAGCGAGTCTTGCATTTTGATCCATCTTTGGAGACTTCTGTAAGTTAATCTTCTTTTATTTCTTCAATACTCCGCTTTTACTTTACGGCGATTTTATCCCCTTCGCAAAATTTTCGAGGAAATAATGTGAAACGTTTTGCGCCATGTGCCAGGTGCCAGGTGCGCGAGGGTAGCCAGCGCCTATCACTCCCTCTTTGACTTTCTCGCGAACTGCTCAATCTCGACCCAGAGCTCTTCTGCACATGCAGAGGAGAGAGTAAGCACTGGGGTCGAGAGTGGCGAACTGCTTTGACGCTTGCTCTCAGTATTGCTCTCAGTTAATGTTTTTCACCTGTTCAAATCTCTGATAGTAACTTTTATATCTGTACAAATTCTTACTCGCATCGCTGCACTATTTCTTAACAAATACTGTAAAGGATCTACAGTAATAGACGCTCGGCGTGTCTGTTAAATTTAAGGAATAAATAGGAGGCATTTAAAAGAGAGAGACGTTTATTCTCAGAACTGTAACAAACTCCACCAAACCAATATGATTTCAGCGAATATATCACCACAGTTTACAAATACCAAACCATCCAGTCCATACCTCTAGGGCGTTTAGAGATTCATATCGCTTTTTAAAATCTCTATTTTGATGTCAGTGTCCTTTCTTTAAACTGGCTTGACATTGAACAAAATGCAATGAGCAACCTTTTTTTAATCAAGCAAGAAAGTGAATAAATTTTCTCCATTTCGTTATTCCCTAGTATTTTTTTAGCCACTTCTTATGAGTGGCTTCTATTAGAGAGGGGCGTCTGATACAACCTTAAGAGCTTAGTGGAGGCGTTCATTAGACAACGGGCGTTTATTTGAGAGTGGGCATCTGTTAGATCGATCCTTCTGTGTATTATTTTGAGCTTGGGGCCGCCTCTGTTCAATGCAATGTGTGTTGCAAGTATGCAGTCATTTCTAAACAACAACCTCTGAATGTTGATGTTGATAAAATCAAGTATTTGTCTTGCCATCAGGGATGCTGTGTGCGAGATCACAAACCAACCTTGAGTTCACCTCAGTCGACAACAACTACAACAACAACGGGAACAACAGAAGAAGAAGAGAGGCCAGCTGATGAAAACATTGATAAAGAAACTTTACGCGAAAACAAGGAAAAACAATGCGACGAAGACAATTCTCAAGAAAAAGGTTTTAAAAGCGAAAATTAATTCATTTTACTTAAGCTCACTTAGAGCTGTCTTAGAGTAAACTTGGGCAAATCGTGAAGTTGCTACTCAATGTAATTTCTCCGATAGGTAACTGTTTTTCAGATTCTTTGTTCTTTTTTGTGCGTGCATTAATCAACTTATAAAACTCATGCAACACTATCGTGGCAGGCGTTTGTGGTTCAGTTTTGTCCTTCGTCATTGCTGTAGACTTGTCCAACAAAAAGGTTTTGTTTAGGATCCCATTATGCCGGAGCATGCCTATAAATGGAAAAATTTCGTGTGACAAATGAGTAGTTTAGGATACGTATTAACCGTATGTGTTTTCCGTATTAAAGATCGTACTCCTTTTCTCGAATTGCACTGTGGGTTTATTTTGACCTTGCAAAAGCTCGTAATAACAAATAGGGAGCTTATAAGCAGCACTGACGGCGTCGGCTATATACGAAAACAGCACTCAAAAAGTGAATTCGCTCAGCTTTAGACTTAATCGCGCTTATTCCATCTCGTTTAATTCGTCAAATGTTGGCACATTTTTCTAGAGTTGAATTCTAAAAAAATGATCGAAGTTCAGGAATAGAAAAAGAGAGTCGTTGTCTTGTACTCACGTCCTACACAAAACGTGAAATCAGCAGACATTTTCACGTCGCAGTCGTGCAGTGACAAAAAAGTTGTTGGTTTGTTAACTCTAAAAGCCCTGTGCAAACGGATGCAACTTTGTTGGCCATCAACTCCCAACATTGTTGGATGTTACCTGTTGCATCCGTTTGCACACCTTGTTGCATGCTGTTGCTAGTTGTTGAGAGTTGTTGCGCAAAGTTTGAACCTGATCAAACGTTTAGCTACGTGCAAACGGACGCAACAACTCCTAACAATGTTGGGCCAACAATGTTGGGAGTTGTTGCGTCCGTTTGCACTTAGCTTAAGCCTATTCTCTATTTTCGAATCCCCCATAATACTCTCTGTTTGCCCCCCAAATTTTGCATAAACCATTGTTTTTAAATGCTCCTGGGAGAACTGCATTTTCCCAAGAGCATTTGAAAGCAATAACCTTTGCAAAATTTGGGGAAGCAAACGGAGTGTATTGTGGGGGATTCGAAAATAGTCAATTGCTTTTTTGACGTTCCCGTTACCGTCTCTCTCTGTTAGGGAGCTTAAGCAACAACGTTTTTGAGCGACGCACGTCAACCGGAAGTGGCCTTTTTTCATTTTTTGACGGTGGTTTCGCGCAAATTTTCAGTCAAATCGCCTCTATAACAGTAAAGAAGCTAAGGAATACAAATTTTCTATCATCAAGGCATGTTAAGAGGGAAAATACCTCACTTCCGGTTGACGTGCGTCGCTCAAAAACGTCGCTGCTTAAGCTCCCTGTTGTCGTTGCTTAAGCTCCCCAATGAAAAAAAGGGATAGCCCGTCCTCCAATCAGTCCCATAATACAATTCGTCACAGCCCCGACTCAGTCTCAACTGCAACCTTAATGGACAATGGCCTCTTGGTTTCTCTTCTCAGGGACGTCGTTCAAGGAAGAAAAAAACCACACCTTGAATGGAGATGCTACTGATAATGCCCCAGGGCAACCTTCTCATCATGCGACGCCTGTTGTAAAGTTACCATCTAAAAAAACATCAGAGGAAACGAAAGTTACCAATGACCCCGCTATAGTGGAGGACTTGTTTACACACAGGAATGTTATATGTGTGCCGTATCGCAGATTGTCAAGTACCAGGTGATGACTGAAGTTAGATACCGTCAATGAGATGTGCAAGATACTGTTCGGATTTAAAAAAACATACAACTGTAATGTAATGTGTATGCCACAAACGGTTGCTTTTGCCATTTTATTATGTTTTACAGGAGCAAAAGAGAACATGGTATTGGTCTAGTCATGCTAGTAGTGAATAGTTTTATAGTCAATATTTATTGGCCAACCTGTGCGTTTGACTTGATCAAATTTTTACATATTCCTTCTCTCTACTAATACAGTTAGGAAGAATAAATGCGGATTTAAACTGAAGTGTTTTCCTCTGATATGTAATTCAGGTTTAGAGTGACAGTTGGATCTCAACAACAACGACATTCTATTTTACATTGTTCGCGGCCGGTATACCTGGGGCACAAGGTCTTGATAAAAATAATATGTATGACTCTATTGCATTATTTTCGTTTTCTTTTGTGCTGTCCTTATTTACAATTTCATTTTATCGTTTGAAGGTCGGCAGAGTTGAACGTGTTTGGTGTGGAGGAAATGGCGCTTGCCAATATGCAGATCAAAAATCTTGAGGTAAAAACAGTATATTTAAACATGGGCAAATATAAAATTACATCAAACGTGAAACTTTGAAAACTCTCTATTTATCTATATTTATTTATTTATTTACAGGTAAATACGAGCGCTCTTTCCGACATGATTGACCCAAGTGAAAGGAAAGTCTCTGAATTTCCAACGGTAGGAGAGAAATGGTGCCAAAACTAATGAAGTAGTTTGCTGATGTGGTTACATTGCATGGCAACCAAAAACTCCCCTTATAAATCCCATCATTCATATGGAGTGATTTTACGTAACCCGTGAAACAGTATCTAACAATTACTACCAAATAGTTAATACGAGAAAACAAAATAAAACAATGAAATTAGAGTGAATTAATACTTCGTATTCACGGGATAAGGAAAGGTAGTCAGTAGAGCGCTTGGCTGCAGAGCGGAAGGTTGCGGGTTCGATTCGCGAGGCCGCACCCATTACTCAGGGTCTTAAAATAACTGAGAAATGAAGGTACTGCCTTAACCCTGCAAGTGGCTAGACCCTCGCGTGGCTCGGATTACCACGTAAAATGGCGGTCCCGGCTCCGGCAGGAGACATCAAAAAAGTGTTCAATTAGTTTTCCTTTCGTGATAAATACATAGACACTCAACTAAGTGCATTTTTTCTGTAAGATAATATTCTGTGAACAATTAAGCAAAATCAGTATATTTCAAAGAAAGTGTGGGACGCAATAGGAAGTGGCAAACTTCTCCCCGAAGTTATCCATTTACACTTTAGACATGTACCGCCTAAAGCCCATTTCTAAATAAATTCATTGCGTTCTAATAGTTGTTTTGAATAAAGTTTGAAAGTGTTTATAAAAAATTAATAGAGGTCTCTGTCTCTTTTGGTTTTCTTGCACTATATTCTGTTTCGTTTTTCCCAGTGAGACACCTGTCCACAGACATCGATAAAATTATCTCTTGTCCCCTTTTTCCAGTACTTGCCATCCATAAGAAGAAGTCGCAGTCGAGGCCTTCACCGTAACTCCCTGAGGAAGATGAAGCTACAGACTACCGCAGCTAACAAGGAGGATGACTATGACTTGGGAGAAGATGAGGATCAACCCGAGTCTGAGGACAATGATAGTAAGTTTTGCCTGACATACTGATATTTTAAAACATTTAAACCCATCACTTAACCTGACTTTCATCCTCACTTGCACTCCCGAACTATGTTAGAGAATTGAAGGCATTGAATAGCCTCAAAGTGTTTTGTGGATGGACCACCCTAATAATTAGGTAACACAAGATATTTATAGTGAACATGATAGAGTATCTAAACATAAGAAATAGATGGAAAAATTTGAAATCATTGTAATACAGTTTTTTATTTATTTATGAGCACTTTAGTTTCTTAAACTAGATTAGATAGACTAGATAGGTAGACGGTTGATTTGGAAACCATTTTCATTTTGAAATTAAAGGTTACCATGTTTAAATAAAGTTCATTCGTTCGTTCGTTCTTCGCCCGCCCGTCCATCCGTCCGTCCGCCCTTCCGTCGATAAGTGATGCAGTGCTAACAACACTATTCTCTCAATACCACCCTCACTGAACTGAAATCAAAGACTGTTATTACTATAGTAACAGGCTGCAATTACGCAGTTCGTTCGAACGATCTCGATCCCAGACCCTCTCTCCTTTTGAAAGTTTGTGGTGTTATTTGCCCCTGCAAAATCTGCTACATGCGTTTCTCAAGATCCGTTCAATCGACTATGACTGTCCCTTACAATCTCACTATAAGGTCTCTGATGTAATTTTTCTAAGTCTGTGTAGCTGATTTGGATATACATTGTACATGTAGCGGGTCGTACTTCCACCACGTCAGATTTTCAGTACAGTTTTATGTTTATGTAAAAGATTTTCTCCCGGTTGGTTTGTGTAAAAAGTAAGCACCCCTTTTCTCCAGTTACCAATCTTCTAATTTTTTTGCGGGCCAGTATCAAGTTTGCTTCTACCTTTCATTACACCTACTATAACAAACCCTTGCGGGATCACAAGTGAGTGAGTGAAGGAGTCGGGCTATTTGTTGGTTCTTCGTATATTGTTATAGTTGTTTGGTAGGGCAAGGTTATCAGTACTTCTGTTTAACAATTTGGTGAAATGTCTCTTTCAGTCACATTACGGGAAAAACCCCGACCACCTCGAAAAATAACCTCCGCCTCCAGAAAAGAGTAAGGACATTATAAATTATTTAATGTAAATGTGTTAATTTTTCATTTAGTCTAATTGCTAAGAAAATTTAGAAATGCGTTGAAATGTTGTTCATTTTATTTTAGTTTCAGTACGTTTAAAAGCTATAAATGGGATTCACAGCGATCTGCTCGGTGGAACCAAGATGCACAGCGAGAGGAAGGTAACCCTAAACAGGGGTGGGGTAGCCGATAAAATTGCCGCTGATCACTCAAACCCCTGGGGAAAATTATCAACTCCTGAAGTTAAAGTAACTGAGCATCAATACCCTCACCCTTTTCAGTTTTGCTTACCAAATGCTATGCAGCTTTAACAGTTTCTTGTTGTTTACAATTAGTTACTTATCCATGTTTGCCTTTATCGTTTGCCAAGATCAAAAGCGCATGTCAGAGTTGGTGTCTTATTTATCGCGACAGCGGACGCACACCCCACCAGACAAAACTGAGAATAAACAAAAAACTAAGGAGGTAAGGCTTTGTTCTAAAACAATGTTTGCATTTTTCCTCTGTGACCGAGGGGAAAATACCCAAGGCCGTGTTGTTCAAAGCTGGGTTAAGATACCGTAAAATTCCGAAAATAAGCCCCCCGGGGGCTTGTACTTGGAAAATTGCCCTCAAATACAAAGTAAAATAAAGCAAAAACGGTTAATTTCCTTCCAACTATAAACTAGCCCAATCGATTTTGAAACGCAAAGTTCCCTCCGTACATAAGTCCCTCCGAATATAAGCCCGTCCACAAATAAGCCCCTCGCAAAGGGCCTTTGAAAAATATAAGCCCCGGGGCTTATTTTCGGAATTTTACAGTAACCCAGGGTTAGCACAAAATTTGAATTCAGAAATAAAAGCTTTAAAAGCAAATTCAGATTAATTCTTTTTATCTACAATTGGATGATTGGATGCTCTAAAAGGAATAGAGCAAAATATCTGAGAAAATGCGTTTGAACAAGACAAAAAGAAACGCAGATTAAAGGGCTGATCGGCCTGCCAACAACTGGGCCCAGTGCCAGAGGCTTTTGATGCGTTGTTTCAGCTGGCGCCGCTTGTGGCTTCGGCATTCGGCCGAAGATCTGTCGGCCTGCAGCCGCCGAAGTATCCAGCCGCACGCAAGAAAAGAAAACCTCTGCTACCCAGGGTAAAATGGATACAATGGTAAAATGGCTAGAACTGACGTCTTTCGAGGCTAAGATTTGGGTCAAGGATGAAAATAATGACCGCGATATTCAATTTGCACACAGTTCCAAAAAAACAAAGAAACAACCAAATCCCCTTCGTTAAATTATTTCCAGGAGTACTAAAGAACGCTGTTTTCTTTTTGTCTTAGTACCTAGGAGGGATTTTTTCCAAGCTAGAGCACCAGTTTCGGGCATCACAGCAGCCAGTTGTTTCTAAGGCGCAGTCAGGCAGTCAACAAACAGGTCCTAGGTAATGTGAACACTGAACTCAATACCTCCCATGTCTTACATCCCTTTACAAAAACGGGAATGACTGACACCTCAGCCTTTCCCCTCCTTGCTTATTTCACCTTCGTTCCATTTCGGGTCGGTCGTTGCGTGGTGTGATGGAATTTGACTCTAGTACGTCACTAAAATAAACTGTCCGTGAAGGCCTAGGAGGAAAGCCGTTAACATGAGTATCATTAGATTAGAGACACCTTCACAACGCGCTTGTGAACCTTGTACCAATGGACTGCATATACAAAAATTTAGTCTACATGTAATATCAAACACTCGTTACATAGGCATAGCCGAGCGGAGACCACAAAATATATTTTATGAACCTTTAATTCTACTACTTGATTTTTTTTAAACTTATTATGATTGCTTTGCGGTTTTTTTCCACAGTCAAAGAGTTCGAAAAATTCCTCTGAAGATTTCCAGCTGATGGCTTGACTGTTTAATTTGACGAGTCAATTTTACACGCATGTTTTTTGTAAATATATATATTTTTTTTCAATGTAAACAACATTTGTGAGAATAAATGTAATTTTCTAATTGTTTTTCTTATTAAAGATGTTTGCAAAACATGTTGAAAAGAATTAAGAATTGCAAAACCAAATATAATGAATTTTTATTTTGTCATTTCATATTAAAAGTCTCAATCTTTTCTAAATACAGAAAGATCGTCCCCACTCCTATGGTAAATATTTTTATTTAGGTTGTTCAGATTGATCCCTAAGTCAAGTTAAAATAAGCTTTTTCCCGTCAGTCACATCGGAGGGTTGGTTATAAGCTTTTTTTAAACTTAAAAAATTGGAAAAAATCCGATGCTACGATGAGTTTCTTTTAAGGTTTTACTTCACTTTATCTTGAAGTTTAAACCTTTTGATAAATGTTTTCCGTTTCAAAATGTGATTGCAAACCTACCTCCGTGTCTCTGAAGCTATCGTATGGCGCTTTTTTCAATGCCTTCTTCAAAATGATAAGGGTCTCTTACGAGGTTTCCCTTCACTTAACCGTTTAACGTGAAAGTTCAAACCGTTTAATAAGTGCTTTCTATCCCAAAATGTGACAGCAAATTTCTCTCTGATGTTATTGCAATTTTGTCCCTGCGTGTGAAAAGCCAGAAAAGCCAGTCGCCTTGCAAGAAAGGTTAAGGACGTGTTTAGATTTGTAGATCACCTCTTCAAATATGAATTACATTCACCTGGCCTGGATAGTCAGAAGGACTTTTAATTCATCATCAGACAGAAACAAAACTAAAACGTAATTTTCTTTGCGAGTTTTAAGAAAAAGAAAATTACTCCTTCGAGAGGGAGGGTGAGTTTTCGGTGTTCTATTAACCAGTCAGCGGTGTCGTTATGAGCTGAGGTACGTATACTTGATGTATGGGAATATATATTGTACCCACGTTGCATCCAGGGGAGTAGGGGCGGGGGGTTACTCCGGATTCCAAGTGACGGGGATGATTGAATTGGGGAAAAAGTCAAAACGAAAAATCCTTAGGACCTTCAATAATACCCCAAAAAATCCATCGACCAAAATTAACCCCCAGCAGCAGCCTATGGGTCATAGGCTCCTGACTCCAAAACATCCCATGCAGAATTTCCGAGCCTTAAAACTTATCAAGCATTAAATGATATAACACAACAAATAAAAACAACAGAAAAATATTCGCATAACTACGCAGGCGGGACACGAACAACAATAACTTTTGGAATTTCCGGTTCGATCAAAATAGTCACGTTATACTGTCACGCTATATTAAGACAAGAATGACCCTCTTCTGTTTGAAAAGAATAAGAGGGTGCAAGGTCGTGTCCAGGGTAAGGAACCGGTTTGAAACTAGCGAAACCTGGCATAATTCCCAGCATTGCTTAGTAAATCTATACACAATTTTGTCGACACCAAATAACATCAATGAGGAGAACGGCGTCAACAACAAGCAGTCAATTCTGACCGACTTTCTAGACAGCTAGCTAATAAACGTAAAGCCTGGTTTTCATATGTCGGGAAAATCCCAGACGATCGGGGATTTTACTTTTTGCCGACCATCCCAGATTTTGCCGATATATCGGATAACCACCAGAAGTCTGTCCCAGATTCTCGAGAGACACCATGTTTATTTGTGATAGGGGGACTGGAGCCCAGCAATTCAGGGGGTTGGTAATGAGCGAAATCCATCGCCGACGTCCCCGAAGTACAAATTTTGAGTTTTCATTTATCGGGAATGATCGCCGACCATCGCAAAAATCTGGGACGCGTCGGGAAAATAGAAACGCTCCCGATTTTCCAGATTTGTCCCCGTCCATCCCAGACGATCGGGGATATCTACGATTTCGAGTTTTCATTAGTCGGCAAAATCTGGGACAGTCGGGAAACAGCAAAATCCCCGATCGTCTGGGATTTTCCCGACATATGAAAACCAGGCTTAAACATGAGTCTCCTCAGAATTCGTACTCGCCATGTCAGATTTATACAACCTCGCATGCGCTACATTCAAAGTTCTGCTCTTGTGTTTCGGGTGATTCAAAGCCCAAGCGTCGAAAATGTTTCCTTTTGTGGTGAGAAAGAATCATTCCAACTTCCATTCAACAATGGCACGAGGATTTTTGCGTCGAAACGCACATCGGAAATACTCCGTTCTCTTTTCGTTTTAAAACTTTGCTCTTACGATGTCGTGGCGAAACACAGTATGTTGGTACGTACAAGCTAAATTAATGCAGTATAACATGTAAGCAAACAGGGGTGAGGAACGAGGAATAGCCTAAAACTGAAACTAACAGTAAAATGGGTAAAAGTGGAATTTAAAATCAAACTTTCTGCTGCTATTTTTCGGCATGAGATTGGAGGGGAGTTTTTAATCATGTAGGAGCTACTCGGGAGGTGTTTGGGTGGATATGTGCTGCCGCAGCATTAAAGGAAGGCCTTGAGAATGTTCTTAAAAATTAGGTACTCCATTTGAGATAAAGTATATTTAAGATGTAGTTATTTCACTTTTGGTAATCGCCTGAAAAATATTAATATGTCGGTTGTGGCATATTAAGTGGAGACTTTGTTTAGAGCCAGTAACACTTGACAGTTTCAATATAGCCTGCGTAGCAGGCGCTTGGAGGTAGTGTACGAAAGAGAGAACGGGCGCGCGCAAGGGAGACATCTCTGAGAGACAGGCCCATTTTTTCTTGTGCCCAGTACTTCCAAGCGCCTGTTTCGCGGGCTAGTTTCAATAAGAACAGATAAACTTGTAGCCCTCTGATAAACCTGTGGCTGAAGGCATCTTTGCTTGAGAGTTTGAAAACTTTTTTTACAAAACAAATCCAAAGAATCTTAGATTCTCCAAAAAGACCTGCCCACCCTCAGTTTTGGCAGCCCCTAACAGGGGCAGATCTAGGGGGAGGGTGCAGGGGGTGTGCAGCCCCCCCCCCCCCCCCCCCCGAGATGACCTGCAGTTTTCTAATACAACTGGTATTCTGCAAAAAAAAAAAACTATCTGGTTTACTGGTGTTGAAGTAGAGCAAGAGACGAGTGCACCCCCTCCTGAAAAAAATCCTGGATCCGCCCCTGCCCAAGATAAAATTGTAATTCTAAAGAAGAAGTTATAGAAGCAGTTAAAGAAGTGTAAATGGCACATTTATATAGTATTATTCAAGGAATTTTTTGCATTTTTCATAGCTTATGTCTTTTGGGCAAAGGATCCTTGGAAAGACACTGTTTGAACATTTATTGTGCAAAACTATGTACAGTCAGTTTGTTGCCGGAGAGAACCTGCCAGCTATCCAGGATACAATTGAAATGCTGCGTAAATGTGGAATAGGAACTATGCTGTGTGTACCTAATGAAGAGGATCTTTCATCAGACTACAATGACTTCAGTAGCAGGTCAGTCCTTTTGAATTTCCACAATTGACTCTTTCACTCTAACTGTGGCCAAAGTAAAAAGTTAAAAAAAAAAATCAATTTCAATCTGTAAAATGCTGGAAAGCAGATAGTACCACCCTTCACTTTTTCTCAGAGCACGGCTTTGCATGCGAGAGTAGTACTGCCAAAGACGTTTCATTTGAATGGTGATTCCGCAGGATTTTGTTTGTTGTCTCAAAAGTGAAAACCACCTCAATACAGTGGCGGATCCAGGGGAGGAGTCCGGGCCTCCCCTTATTCTTAGAACAAACTGAGGCCCGAAGGGCTGAAAAAAATTTTTTGAGACCAGACCCCCCCCCCACCCCTTATCTCAGGGTCTAGATGGCTGGACCCCCCTTATCTGAAGGTCTGGATCAGCCACTGTAATAAACTCAACCTTTCACTCAGGGTATGAAAAGGACTCTTCTCAAGTGGACTTTAGATAAAATGGGGTTGCGACTGAGTATGGTTAATCCCAGACTTCTACCCGGTCACTTGACAATCAGGACTGGTTAATGTGTCAACACAAATAGGGGGACCCATCAGTAAATGTTTTTTGCATAAATTATATTTTAAGTATGTATTGATTTTGTTCACAAATATTATCAATATTTTTACTTGTTCAAACAGGGAAGAAATGTTTGATAGAAATGCAAAGGCTATTCTTGACTGCATTGAGAAAACAGGTATGTTGTGGCATTAATTTTAGCTAATTTCATCACATGTGTAATACAGTAGAACCCCTGGCCAGTAACTCTAACTCTGAAGGGAAACAAAAAACAGTTTGAGTTAGCAGGGAATTCAAGTTATCGGGGTAAATTTCAGTGAAATTTTGATCAAGGGAAAGGAAATTTAGTGCGAGTTAGTTGTCCGTGTTCAAGTTTCTACTGTTAGAAGTAGTATATTCTGTTAACTTTTTTAGCGATGGTAGTTCTTTCCAACTCCAATCCTTCCTACTTATTTGTTGGTTTTTCCTTTGCTCCTGTTACTATTGAAGTTATCTCTTTTCCCTCATATGTTTTGCAAATCTTCTTTATTTCCTTGTAAAATGTCTAATTAATATATAATATACAGTTCAAATTGAACTCTGGATCTGGAGGTCTGGGGTTCAAGCTTCACCCATCACATTGTTTCCTTAGACAAGGAATTTTACTCCACCTTGTCTTTCTTCAGCCAAGTGTATAAATCGGTAATGGTAACATACTGCTGGAAGGGGGGGGGGGGGTAACCCTGCAATGGACTGGCATCCCATCCAAGGGGGAGTAACAATACTCCTCGGC